ACATTTATACATATATACATATATACATACATGTATATGTATACATATATGTATACATGTACATGTATATGTATACATGTATACATGTATATGTATACATATATGTATACATTTATACATGTATACATGTTTCTAGTGGGGAAAGCAGAAAGTTTCTTTATAGCTCTTGATGCTGAAGTCTCCAAGCGGACTTGGGTCAATGCAGGCAAGCATACTCCAATACCTTATAACCCATGATGAGCAAGTAGGCATCTGTATGATCTCCAAAAATATGCTTTGATTTTGTCTAACTTTCATGATCAGTTTTCAAGGATTCTTACCGACCATCTGTGTGTTATAAAGTTCACATAACGGAGGAAACAAATTGACAGAGAACATTGCTGGAAGCCTACTAAAGAAATTATTGTGCAGGTATGTTTTCCCTCACCTTTTGACCATGCATTGCTCCTAATCTACCCATTATATGTTCTTTTCTCGTATTTGTGTACCGTCTATTATGATTAGTTCGGAGGCCACTTGAAGGCGCAGATATCACTTGTGATCACGTCACATTCGTTTGTTATCATGTTAAAAGCTTAGTGTATGTGTTGGAGCAACTTCGGATTCTTTAGAGAACATACCAATAATATTACGCAACAGTTGTTCATCAAAGGGCATTTGGTCTAGTGGTATGATTCTCGCTTAGGGTGCGAGAGGTCCCGAGTTCAATTCTCGGAATGCCCCTAAATGTTTTATGGCTTTGCTTTTATTTACTGTGGGTGTTGGACATAAGGCCTTACGTGGCCCATAAGATGTTGGTATCCGGCTCGGCTCAATTTGTTGAAGAGTGCGGCAAGTTTAGTTTGCATTTTTGTTTATTGGGCCGAGTCATATGGGCCAAGCTTAATTAAAATATATCTCAGTCCGTGGGCTTCAAACAGAGTCAATACCTGACCCATACGTATTACCAGCCTGCTCGGCCCAAGTTGTTGAAGAGAGTGCGGTGACCGCGGTTATTGTAAGATCTCGGTCTTCCAACGCATTTTGGCCGATTTTAATTTTTTCGGAGGCCCTTCAGCCTCAAACGGCGTGCGGTAAGCTACGGGTGCGGTATATATATATATATATATATATATATATATATATATATATATATATATATATATATATATATATCTCCAATCCCTTTGCCGGTGGTTTCTTGGATTGAAGGGTTAAGCAAGAGGGCGGTGATAACAATAACTGTCACTCGTCCTCCTCCCTCTCCTCTCCCACCTCTCCTCCACCGCCGTCTCCACCTCATCGGCCTCCTGCCACGGCACAGGCAGAGTATCAAACCCTCTCTCTCTCTCTAAGAGCTTGTGAGTTCGATGATCTTCTCGTTTTACCCTCTTCCAGGTTTCTGGTGCCGGTGATTAATGATGGAAATCTGACGTGGGGCGGCAATGGGAAGACGCCCATGAAGCCGGAATTCCGCCTCATCGAAAACGAAGCACATAGTCACATAAAGAAAAATCAAAGAAACCGAAGTTTTCGATCAAGATTTACCCTGGCGACGATGTGCTGCGTTTCCGTGATCTGTAGGACGGGTTCTTTTGCGGACGATCCTTGTCAGGGGTCAGTTAGCTGAAGCATCTGAGTTGTATCAATCTACTATCTAGGGTTAGAGTGTATTGTTGTTTACCACGATAGGGGCACTGGTTTTGGATAGAAACTCAATTGTTTGACACAGTAATGATGTGCGCTTGATGAACCAGGGGACGATTGATTGTTGGGAGCATCTTGAAATGTCTTCAGTCGTTGCCCTATTCAGTTTTCACTTCCTTCATGATCAAGGTGGATGGATCCTGGTATTATGTTTTTGATGAAGTAACTCGATGGCCCTCAATTATTGATCTCACTCACTATGTTATATACTTCATTCTTTGTTTTAGTAATGAAGCCTTGCCTACCATAGAGCTAAAATGGTGGGAAAAGACCGTAGCACTGCATGCCATGGCTTAGTATTTTCGTAAGACAAGTGGTATCTTGTTCTTGTACTATAAAAATATAATTTCTTTGATATCTTTGTTGAAAGTATAAACGTCTTCGCCTACTAGTATTAATTCAGAAACGCTAGCTCTGGTGATGTCTCCTTTCTTCTGTTCCATATTAAACCGTACTCACTTGCAACGAGTAGACTTTGGTTTTAACCCACAGCAATTATGGTGACACCGATTGGATTTTAACCTGACAGCAATTACAGCCAAAGGTTGGTTAGTTAACATCCTCGCTGAGATAACATGATAAGTAATATTTAAATAATAATACAAAAGCATCATATGAATGTCGTTCTAAAATTATATAGACTGCTTATGAGAATGAAAGAGGGTACTAATTTTTTACAGATCGACGGTGCATAAGAAATATTTTTTTTAGGACTTCCCACAGCATTTATAGATTTCCTTAGCACATGAGGATATAAAAAAAATCATACAATATTTTTTTCTTATTTTTCATACTAATTTCAAGCATCTATCTCAATATTCTTATTTCAACAGTACAAACCCTTTATATTCGTTTTTTTTTTTTTACTACCACTCAGATTCATAAAATGTCATGGGTTTAACAACAATCTCATTTTTTTTTTAATCACAAACCTATTGATGAATAATATATTTATCAATATCTACAAAATAAATAATTCAAGATATTTAAGATTTTTTACTTAATAAAACTTTTTGTATATCCAACTTAACTATAACCTCAAGCCTACTCCCAGTAATCACTAAGATTTACATCTCATATATTTAGCCTTAATTCTAATATATTTAAAATATAATTTATAAGGGTTGTCTTCATAACTTAAATTTAGAATTAATTTCATTTAGAATCTCATCTATTAAAACAATATCATTAGTAAATAAATATACCAATTAGGTTTATATTGTATATGATTGAGTGATAAATTTGCTCGTATTAATGTAAAAATGTAATCATACAAAACTCATTAGACACACTTCTGTAATCTAACACTAATGACTAGACAACCGTACAAATCTTTTACATCGATAGAACTTGTAGATGCATATTTCTTTTCTAGAACACAGCTAAACTAATTAATTAAGGTAATAAAACGAAACACATTGAGAACAAAATCATCAACATATATTCAAAACAGAAGCTGGATTTGAATTAGGATCAATCAATTAGCATCTCACACATGCAATGAATAAAAGTTTGTGGTATTGAGTACTTGCATGGTTGTATATACGAATGGAATTATGATGTTTAACAAAAACTATCTATATTGTAACAAAGCCAGAAACAGAAAAAGAACTGTCACGTAGACTATAACAAGAACATTTATTATAATCAGTCTAAACTAATTCCTCCATTGGACTCTTATTCTACATTTATTCTTGAACAGAAAAGAAAGCACAATCTAAACAACCTAATAATCTCTCCTAATATGCATGTGAAAGCTAAACCAACATTTACACCAGCAGTAATGAAAAGATCAAGCTTGTTACTCATCTCAGGTTTGACATTTAATTTGATGAGAGGTTCTTCATCTAGAAAATTTAGTACATGGCATTCATTCTAATGATTAAAATTTAACAAAGGCAAATTATGTTTAACCATCAGAAAATAAGTAAATGTGAGTTCAAGCTTTAATGGAATACCAAGGTTACCACGTTACTACTGATAACATTTCTAAATATCACCAGATCCCTTAATGGTGAAAGTCATATAAGTCAGACTCCTTCTAATTGTTCTAAAAAATATTTTGTTTGTATTAGTAGTATGTCCTGCGGAAGAAAATTGTGTCATAATATCTTATAAAGATTAGTAAATGAAAGGTCCATAGGTGACACCAGTTTGCTGGCAGTCCTTTAGAAAGCTGAACATAGCAGCTTGGGGTAAGGTTGACGTTAAATTAGAACACCTGAGCTAGAATCAATGGATGGAGTAGTTTTAAGTTAGACCGGTCTTGCCATCTCAGCTAATTTTAGCCTCCACAAGCATTACGCTGAGCTTCAGATAAGCAAGTTCCCACTAGCTTGGCTCATTTATACCCTAAAAAAGTCATTTCCGGAAATAGGCATCACTCAGTCTTAAGAGTCATTCAAATTGATTGCTTAAAATCAAAAAGATAATAGTAAAAGCAAGAAAGATGACACACAGAAAATTGCAATTACAGATCGAGAATCAAAGTAATCAATCAGTTAAAAAACAAAGAGTAACACAATCACATTAATCAAAGAACAATAAATAAACAATTAAATAGAAAACATGATACCTCTCAACTCCATTGGACCCATCATTTGCAAAAAGGTAGCCATTCTCTTTGTCAAGCCATTGCATGGATCTGCTGCTACATCACAACCATCTGTGTTGTCATCACCTTTAAAAATTGTTGAGAGTTGAGACATACCCCATGCATCCTCTCTCCGCCACCCCCCTTCTGTTTTACAGACTTACTTCCCCATTCTTCCTCCAAATCCATGTGTCCTAGCTGGGATGCATTAGCAGCAATGAGAAACTAAGCACTTCCTTGATTCTCTCATTCGAAAAGAATCAGAGTCCATTTGATTCAACAAGTAGGAATTCCATGAAGCCAAACTTCCTACAAGTGAATCTACATAAGCTTCAATATCTGATGCCTCATGTGCATAAGAAAATTTATGATGTATCCATGATGAAGCACCTTCTAGTGACTCTTGTATGTTTCCTGTTAAAATAGCAGACATGGGTGAAACAAAACTAGTATCATATTCCACTTTTGGGACAAATTTGAAATAACTAACTTCCAGTGTGGCAAAACAAAACCAGTATCATATTCTTGCATGTGTGGCAAAACAAAACCAGTGTCATACTCCACCTTTGAGACAGATCCCAAAATAACTAAGTTCCAAATTCTTGCATGCGCCTTGGCTTGTTGTCTAACTCAACATGAGAACTGATTAGGCCAAGTTTCCCGGCAGAAAATTTTCTCTTCAATTCTTCTTCATTTTTAATCATGTCAGGTGAATCATCTTTTCCTGATCAATTACATTTTGGAGATCCTTTCAATTCTTGTGTAACTCAGAAAGCATAATCTTTAAATTTAGTCATACCAGCCTCTGAATCAGGGCCAGCAATATTGACTCAAAAGTGGTTTGGAGTTTGGAATACTGCACCTTTCTGAACTTCTACAGAAACTAGCCTAGTTTTTTGCTCCTTGGAATATCCATTATCAGAAATGAGAGTTGAAAGGATCCTTGGCGGGACCCCCTTTCTCTGGATTGTGATTTATGTGGCTTGCTCTCATTAGCAAGGTTCTTCAGTGATGCTCTTGCTCCAAAAACAGGTTCTTTGCTGCACTCATGTAGTTATTCTGCTATTTAATGATGATGACGTTGTGTTTTTCCTTCAGAAGTCAGATGGGTGGAGAAGACAAATTTGTAGCACATCAAAGCATCTTGGAGAAAGTGCCTTTAGAATAGATATCAGTAGATAAATCATCACTGGATAAATCACAGCAGGACATTTCTTGGAAAGTATTAATTTGTACAGATGTTCTGATCTTGTTATCATCAGTAGTCTTCAGCTCCTCTGATAAAATCAATGATGAAGTCAAAGAAATTGCTAACCCAATGGTGCCAACAGGGGAAAAGGAAGCTAAAAGAATTATATTTAAGATAAGCACAATTAAAATAGTTATGATGCACTTACTTTTATGCCCTTTCTCCAAGATAGCTTCACATCAAAAAACAACAAGATAATGTCCTAATTATTTCGGTTTGGCTACAAAGTCTTTTCTGGTCATAGAGCTCTATGCAAGGCAATATCTCTTGTTCATACTAAGAAATGACCAAGAATAACCAAGACAATTATTTCTTTTTTATCACTTGAGAGCTAGAATAATTATGTGCTAAACACTTTGTTTTTTCATATTTAATGTGTTAAAATTGAAATCCATGTGCCTAATTTACAGCATAAAAATCAAGACCACACAATAATTTTCTCGAACACACCAAATATTCTTATGTTTGATCACGAACTTGAGCATGTACATGAAGCCAATCTTGAAAACCTCTTGAACATTAGTTGCAAAATTAAAAGCTAACCACCTACAGCTCGAGTATGGTGAATTGAGACAAAATTGAAGATAGAGATTTTTCATTCAGGAAAAACAGGAAAAATTTAAGTCAATACCTGATATTTGTTTCATAAAACTGAAGAACAGCTAAAAGATCTCAAATATTGTCCATTAGCAGATCCTATAAATTTAGCTCGCATCTTAGCCAGAGTATGTTCTAGGTTGTCATGCAATGCTTTCATCTTTGCTTCTTTCTGAGGCCTTTTTGATTTCCACTCTTCTAATAGTTTTGCATTCCTTTTTTGCATATATTTATCATAGAATTTTCCTCTAACATCATCTGATTTATTGTCAAATCCTTGGCATATGTTATTATCAAATTTCCTATTATTTACCATATTTGACAGCAAATTAGCATCAAATTCAACTTCCTTCTTGGAAGCTTCCTTCACAAACTTCCTCTCAGGCAATTGAACTGGAATTGCATGTCCTTTCTCCAAAGCCTTAAGTACATGATCTTGGTGGGCATCTGAACTCCTCTGAAAGGTTGATGCCTGATCCTTCTGAATTCTGAGCTTGTGTTCAGCAAAAAGGTTTTCCAATTCATTAGCCTTCATTTGAAGTTCATTGTTCAGCTTTTGATTTCCTCCTTTAAGTGAACTCACCATCTGAATCTGCTCTGCTGAACACATAGAAGGTGGATCAAGTAACTCCATGCACTCTTTTGCATCCCTCACTGGAAAAACAGGCAAACTATATCTTTCAGAGTGTGTTGTTTCACTCTGAAACTTGTTTGGACAACCAGAAGACGATGATTGATCCTTCAAATTTATACCTAGGTGACCCAAATCTCCTTTTTCCTTGACTAGAATGGGACCAAAAGGTTGCTCAGAAACAACTGTTCCACTCGAATCAGCTCCCACTGGTTTACTTAGAGGTGTCCACTGGGGGTGGGAGTCCAAATATATGCCTGATAAAGCTCTTGAGTTAATCTGAAAATCTGATGGATCTTTGGTTCCCACTTGAGCATCATCAGGTTTTTTTGCAAAAATTTGGAGTTGGGTAGATAATGTTGGTTGATAGTTCACTCGAACACCATCTGGATGTGAGGAGATCTTCCCAGTTCGAGTCCTGGAACTTTCTTGATCTCTCAGCCCTGCTTTTTCCTCTGCTGCTGATACAGATTGTGATGTGGCTTGCAAAATCACATGGTCGTTTGCTTGGACATAATCCACTGAGGTGGTTTCAAACTGTGGGTGACAGACGGCATGACATTTCAATCCAGCACAATTACCTGATTCCAAAACGCCATCTTGTTGGGTGCCAAAAACATCTTGATTATTTAATTGACAAAAAATCTTACCACTTTGGGAAGCAGGTATTATATGCTTGATCTGCTCCTTAGGAAAGGCAGGTTCTGATGGGGTCATCAGGGTCTTGTCAACTTCTTCCTCGGCATGATCTCTATCTTTAGATAGAGTTTGGAATTGGGGATGAAACTGGCAAGGTGTGATGGCTATGCATGCTTTAGGACTCAACTGAGACTGCACGGTCATTGTATCTGTCAACCCACTGGCCACTCCCTCTTGGATTCTATTGCTGGATTGAAACTGCAAGTTTGCAGATGTAGGAGTTCCAGAAGCACTCCCACCGTCTTTCTCATCATTGAAGCTGCTACAACTGCTGCTGCTAAGATCTATACTCATGTCACTAGCAGCAGACCATCTCCTCAATACTGACTTATCTGAGACATCAGAAGGGATTCTCCTAGGTTCTCCTTTTCCTGCCACTGCCCTCTTAATTCCAACAATAGTGCTGATATTTCTCGAACTCACAGACTGTTCTTTCTGCTTGCTCTCAAAGAGACTGATGCGGTCCTGCACGCTAAGACGCCTAGAGCCTCCTTCATCCTGTTGAGCTGGCTTGGTGAATGATGCAGCAGGAATAGAGTCCACCACGTTCCCAACAGTTCTATCCACAAAATGCTGCTGGATAGGTTTGAGTTGTGGATATGGGCACAGCAACTCTGCCGTATGTATCTGTGCTGGTTGGCTATTGTTGTGTTTGTGGAGATGAAGACCCCCACCATCAGGTGGTTTACCACCAACCTTGGGCTCATCTTCTGGCTCATCTAGTGAGACATCTGAGCCAGAGGAGGATGAGACGCCAAGGCTTTTAAGTGGCAGAGGCAGTGACCAAGGCAGGTGCTGAAGACTAAAAAGATCAGGGTGCTTTTGGCAAAGTGAAATGAATTTAGTGCATGCCTCACTGTAGCCATTACAAACAGCACCAATATCATTTCTATCACCAAATTATCAGGTAAAAGGGAACAGAAATTGGCAAGAACAAGTAGAGAACTTGGCAAATTCTTTTGGACTAATAATCTCCAACATATAAAAAGATAAATCTTTGAACATTTAATAACTTCTAAATAAGTTTGGAAAAAGAAAAAGAAGTGGAAACTTCTTGTGTAATTTGGAAGGTTATCATGGGTAACCATACTATATACTTTCTACATATACATCTCCCAGCAATTCAAATTAACTTGCATCAAGAAAGATTCATTTTCAATATTCAACCACTACCATATCAATAAACATACCATTCCACAGAACAAAAATATTCTTCAGCTCATTCCCAACTTAAGACCATAATTTCTGGAAGAAAGTAGCCCGAAAGTGATGGCTAGTTGTTCTTTTAAGAGCATTATGTTTCTTTCATATGAAAAATCATTTATTATAGCTGCATTGGACATCATCCGGACAATGTCTGAGACAACACTCACATGATAAGATATGACCCTCTTATTAGGACTTTCTCCAATTCAAGAAGAAAAATGCCTAAAAAATGAAGGGAAGAAAGATATTAATTATTTTAAATTAAACAAATTAATTGCATAAAAGAAAATAATCAATTTCTCATGTATGCCTCAAGAACTTACAACCACTTGTTTATATACCCAACTAAGAGGCTTTGTGGGGGGAAAAAATATGTTTCTGAAAACATCTTCTCAGAATCTGATCAAAATAGACCTCAAAACTCTTAGAACTCTCCAAATATGACTTCTAATTGCTAAAAAATTGTTTAACATATACTTCAACCATATTAGGACTCCTGGACATCAAAGGGACTCTTTTTTTCTTTTACATGACATCAAAGAGACTGAAAATTGAACTTTACAATTGTCCAAAACATCAACTAAAATTAATAACGAAAATACATCCAAAATACTAAAATAGAAAAAAAGTAAAACTTATTACTGATAGGACAAAGTCAGAAAACATGATTAACCCTTGTTTTTTCTAACTTGACTTTATTAATCCTTTTCTTACCACATTTATGTTTATAGAATAGAAGTTAAAATAAAGGATGAGCCCTAAGGCTTGCATCCTTTTATGTACATTGCTAAATAAAAGGTCCTGTGAGCAAAAAACTTTTGTCCTGTGGAAATCTCATCAACCATGTATATTTCCAACAAAAATAAACATCTAGAACTCTCTAAATTTAATTCCTAATGGTTAAACAACTTGTTTAACATAAACTATGATCATACTATGATTCTTATACATCAAATAGACTCATGATACGAATCTTCAAACTTTCTAAAATAAGAACAAGAATATACTAAAAATGAAATAAAAATATAAATCTAAACCTAACTTTAGTACTTGGTAAGAAGGTCTAATTTGTCATAGTATTTTCTGTTTGATAAAAAGAATCTTGAGAAAAAATTGTTCTACTTCTCCTTTCCTATCACATATCTGGGAGTTTTCCTTTGATTAAGACACTTTGTACCAAGTGAAGTTAAACTCATCCAAGCCAGATAAGGTTCTTTTAGGTTACATTTTGCTGACCAAGCATACCATACTGCTGCACGAAGCTGTGGAACCCCTTGATTAGTTAGAAATATTGATTAAGGGCCTAATTAGCCCTAGCCATGTCAAGAGCTGATGGAATGGGGTCTAAGATTAGGCCACATCATAGCATCACCATAGTTATAAGTTGGCCCATGCAACTATGCTGCAACAGGAAACATAACTATATGACTAGGCTGCACCACTCAGCATAAATCCACCAGGCCAAATTTCAAGGTGGTACATCTAAGAAATAGCAACACGTAGCACTGGTTATCCTCCATGAGAACTTGGATTGAACAGTTGCACACGTCCATGTGTCCTAGGTCCAGTTCAACAACCCAACTCAAAGATCACATGATCCGGATCACTTGGGATGAGATAATATGTTTGGTTACATGACAAGGTCAATAGGATGGCTTTTGTTTGGATAAATATAAAGCAGTATATGCATACAGCTCTGATCAAATTGAAGAGACAAGGTCCCTCCTATTGTATGCTTCCATGGGCTACCAAGGAGACATCAGTATCATATATATCAACATGAATTCATCTTAAGACATTAAAAATGACTACCCAACTCATCATGATTAACAACTACCAAGTGATTATTAGTTAAAATGGATGTTTGATGAAAAAAAAGTGCAATTGCCTAGGACACTTAATCGTTATCCAAATGGTGAGTCCAAAAATCTTGCCATAAAATTCTGGCATAGATGTATATGCTTGTGGAACAATCTAAGCAATTGTGTTTCTAATGATTGTGAACTGGAACCAAGATGCACAGATTTGGCATGGCACGCATCTAGTGAGAATTTAGATAATTATTTATCAGTGCTAAAAATAAGCATCAATATCAAAGTATCAGATCTGCAAAACTGCATCAGATAATATTTCATTTCCTCTAACATCAAACCAACACATAAGAAGCAAGCTAACCATTTTTTCCTTTTGGCTGAGCAGAAAACAACATTATGCTGAGAGCTTCGTAACTTACTTTAGGTGATCTGCACCAAAATAATCTGCAAAATGAAGAAGCTCTGAGACATTTTTAGGGGTAAACCCAGCAGATGATGCCCAACAACAAGCTTTGGTCAGATCCTGCTTAACTGCAACAAGCCGCACTTCAATGGCTCTAAGAAGCTCGTTCCTGAGTACAAAAAAGTAGGGAGTATATTGTCATTACCCTTAGCACATACCGAATGTCATATCAGTTGATGAAAAATGGTGCTACTGGCAATAAAATCAAAAGATATGAATTAGACACCAGTAGGCTGCTGAATTTCTGGCACAGGAAAACAAAAACAGTGCATGAAAATAAAAAAGATAGAAGAGAGAGAAATATATGAGAAAGAGAGGAGACAGGATAAATTAGGGCTAGATGGCCAATAAAAAACCTTTCTTCAGTTAAATAAATGTACACCCTGTTGATTCTCCCATAGATCTCTTAAATGGACCAATAGCTCCAATTCCTACAAAATAAGGACTCTCAAACAACCAAATTACCATCCTCTCCACACTAAAAAAGCTTTTCTTTGCATGAATTTGAACCCTTTTTGCACTATGATTAAGGAGTGCTTGAACAGTGACGAGAACAGGGTAATCACATGGCCACTTTTCAACAAGAACTGAATTCCTAAATCAACTGCAATACTGCCATAGATAATGAATGGAATTCCCTATTGAGAAAGTAGGGAAGTAGAAAGGCAGAACCTTAGCCCAATATTACTCGATTTCTTTCACGGTTCTCAATTTCGAAGTGTACCGCCCGATACGGGTGACACATACCGGTCCAAGGGGATTCTGGTACGCGGGCTGCCCTCTATCGGGCGGTACCAGTGTTTTGACCGGTACCGAGGCATACCGACTGGTACCGCCTCAGATTTCGACCGTTACCAAGGCGTATCGATCGGTACGCCCTAGCGTGGTAGGTGAAAGTATTTTTAAGGTTTTAGGGTGTACCGTCAATACGCTCTAGCACACCGATGATACATACCAGTACATACTATATCGAGCAGAGCTCGGTACATCGGTATAGACCGGTATTCAAAACCCTAGTTTCTTTAACATAATGTTTCACCGATCAAACTAATCAATGATGCCATTACTATTTGTATAAGGAAGTCCATTAGAACTGATAAGCGGGGCATAGAAACAACAATAATGTAGATTACATTTGTATTATTTAATAGCTTTCATATTTGCTGTGCGCTGAATCTCTTGCTCAGAAGTACAAACTTTCTCAAGGAAAGAAAATGAAAGCTACATGAATAAGATAATACTAAATCCATTAAAAATTTGACATCATTCTGGCTTGAGCCTTTGAGAATGAGAAGGGAAACTTACTTTGTTATATCCACAGATGCTTCTGTAGTTGTTCCATTTTCACCTGAGTAGAAGTCCAAAGAGAATTTTGTATTAACATGTTGATACTACTTATACAGAAATACTTTCAAAAAAATGATTTCTTAGACTAAAACCACCAAATGTTTCATTGTAAATTAAGATGCTTAGGATGTTCCACAAGAGAGAGAGAGAGAGATAGCATTACAATCTTACAGATCATACAAAATTAACATCAGAGATCATTTCAAAAATAAAAGTATTATTTCATACCAACATTAAATACTGATACATCTTGTCATGTTTAATTATATGCATCAATTGCAAGAATAGGTGAAAGAATGCAATAATGAAAAAAAAGGAGGTCCGGGGGATACCTTTAATTCCCAATTAAGATATCTATCCAGTTCTTGTTTCCACAAAGTAGGCAACCATTGCTATACATTCTAGGGCATGTTGCACACTGAATGTCATTCTCCTTTACCTCCGGCTTAAATAACTGTTACTTAACAATCTTCATATAAAATATAGACCCTTAACACCTAGACCACACGTCTTCTTGATCATAAAGTTTAGAGAAAAATAGGAGATACTAATTAACAGTCAAGCATTGGATAAAGTTAAACTAAATTTAAAACTATTTTTTCAAGTAAACGTCAACGGTGAAATGACCACCTACTTATATATGCTGATTTACTTGCTGTCAAACTTTAAACAACCTGCAAAAATTCTTGTCTACTAAATTTTCATCATATAGATACTGCATATATATTATATATGCATGAGAACAAAGGTGCAAACCCAATATACAAGCTGCACAATCATAATAAAGGTAACACTATAAATTTCTAGACAATTAGCAACTATGGTACTTAGCTACTTTGATATATTAGAATGGCATGGCAAGGGAATGGTCGAAGTATAAACATCCGTTAGTACTATATTCTTTAGCATGACAAATTATCCTGCATATAAAGTGTGACTTAGCAAGGTTATGCAAAGGATTGATTAGAAGAGTTTTGTTAAATAATTTTCAAGGTTTTCTTCAAGTTCTAGGCGGGTACTCTTGCAGAGAAAAAGCAATACCAAAGCTAGGTCAAACATAATTACTCATCAAGAATTCATGATACTGTAATAGCATGCAAAAAGACATACCCATTGAACCAGAAACTGGAACTCCTGCATTCTGAATAGGAAGGTTATGAGGCTTCAGAAAGATGACACAAAGGAGTCACTTATGAATCCAACAAAAGAGGAACAGCATGAAGTTCATCACCTGCAAATATGTTTTCTTGGCCCCTTCCAGCTGTGACATTTCTGCATCAAATGTATTGACAAATTCCAGAACCTCTGGTTCACGAACGAATCGAACAAACCTGTAGCAAGGATTTGCCAATAAGAAATCTCTGCAAAGGCTTTTGGAAACCACCCGCCAAAAAGAAACATAATACATTACAGGATAAACCTAACCATCCAACAAATAAGGATTTTATCAGACACTCTATGTCCAACCTTTCGATGGTTCCTTTCTTAAACCATGTTCCATCTTTCGTCCTCCTATCAACAATAAGCTTTATCGAATCAACTGCCTCTGCAGATTGATCTTCTGATACTTTCAAATGGGCGAGGAATGGCTTCAAAAACCCTGAAGCAATTTTCTCGGTTTTCCCACCTCCAGATACGAATAATTCGCACCTGCAATATGTGATATTATTCCAGAATAAGGGAAAATTCACCGATGACAAAAAAAAGATCAAGACAGCAATTCTCACCGCGAGCGTCTTGGCGAGAGCTGGAATAATGCATGGTCAAGAAGAATGTCGGAATCCATCTCTCGATGTCAAAATGCTGCCTCCTCCTCCATGGTCCGCCACCTCATGAGCTCCCTGTTCCAACCCCCAAACCATCAGAACCCTACAAGAACTCAAAAAGGGAAACCCAAATCACATCACAAAAACCCTTGGGAAACCCAAAACAACCGACATCAAGATCGAAAGATTTCTCAGATGCACCAGAAGAAAACCAGTACGGCATCCAACTCCCGATCGAACCCCCGCCGAAAAAGCCAAAATTCTTCCACATCCATGGCAAAGAAACAAAGACCCCCATCTGATTAAGCCCAAAGTCCCAAAACGCCAACCACACGGAGCATCAAGAAACAAGAACCAAGAACTCCCCCCCCCACTGCCGCACCCAGACCCACCGGATCGCGCCACCAACTCACCTTTCGTCCAAGAAGGATCGATCCGCGAGCTCGATCTCCAATCTATTCAACCGACGAACAATGAGAATCGTACAGGCGTCGGTGTTGGTGGTTTCCGGTTCTCTCTCGTCTCCTCTCTCGGTCTCTATATATATACTTGTAGGATACGAGCGATGGAGGGAGCAAACATTGAAACGAAGAAAGGAGAGAGAGAAGACGGGAAGAGATCGGTTGGAGGGTAAACAATAATTACTAATAGTAAGTACTAATAATAATAATAATAATAATAAAAACAATAATGAAGAAAAAAATAACATGAGATATAAAAATATCCATTATTCAATTATTATGATTAATAGAATTAATTAATTGGCTGTCATGGCTACCTTTGATTAGCATATCATACATATAGAGAAAAGGACAATTGTTCTTATCCAAACACTGCTATTATTATCATAACAATTCAATCTAAATTAAGGCAGACGATCTCATTGTTTAATGATATAACCATCATTATAATAAAAAAAATACTAGGCAGGGATTATAATAAATAAATGACAAAGAACTATTGTTTAGTTGGATAGGAATAATTTTGTCTTAATCCATATTAGTTGTTGTCTTAATCCAACTAACTGTTATTTAATGGAGGATTATGTGGCTTAACAATCAACAATTACCACCTGTAATGCAAGGAAAGATTTGATGGCTTGGGAGATAGATTCATCTCCAATAAATATGATGATGGAGTGTAACCACACAATTAATATGACCAATGAAGAGTGATTAATCCATAACAACCAGCACTGATCTTAAAAATACCTACAATTAAGCATGCAAAGTTAGATCACATAATCCCATCCATGTCCTTGATGTCATTGTCATGTCAATCCTTCCTATTATCCTATTAGCAACCTAATCAAGGCTAGCTAACCAGAGTTAATATGGTCAGAAGGGGGCAAATAAGAACACTAAATATATAACATGAAAGAGAGAAGTACAGACTTTATATACTAAACATGAAAGCAGGATATCTCAAGGCCTTTTTCACAATAACAAGTGTGTCATGTTTAAATCATATCAACTTTGTGGATGGATTCTCAAGAATCCATGGGGTGTCTCAACTGTTCTGCTAAATTCTTTTCACTCACATGATTTGTGAACCACCAAGAGCTTTTTGTATTGAAATGGTAAAACAAAATGCTGCAGAAAACTCATCTCCAAAGGCTTTTGTGAGACATTATTACCATGGCAAGTGCCAGAAGTTTTCCAACAGCATCAACATCCACCAAACTACAATTGAAGACCAAGAGAATCATTATCTAGGGAATTTTATTAGTGTTCTTAAATCCATCTCATACTCACCTTTTATTCTAGGCTCTAAACACAGATGTCTAGTGTATAAAGCTTGCAAGCTTGCAAAACCACAAGGAAACAAAAGCCAAACATCTGGGTCATGACCCAATTATAGGTGGTTTAGACAAAGGTGTAGTGCAAAGGAGAAGCAAAGGAGGTATCAATGCATGTCCCATTCAAATTGCTAGGCATGTGGCTGGCTTACACTGACAAGAACAGAGGTGAAGACTTGAGAACAAGAGTCTAGCAGTTCTAGCTTCAATCATCTGCCACAAGATGGTACAACACTTTGAAGGATGACTGGGCATAAAAGGAAGTTTCTTCATGAGACATGTTCTGCTCACATGATCACAGACTGTGCAACCCCTTGATGAGTGAGACTAGTACAAAAATAAATGATTGATTGTGATGCAATTCAATCAGGCCACTGGATAGAGATCACAATAATTGGATATGTTGTTTGTCAGCAATGAGCCATTCAGTGAACTAAAGTTAATTTATGATTTCACAGTAATCACTGTAGATGATTCATATCTCCACCAACCAATGCTGCATCTATATCTTCAAGTGGCCATAACCAAGTCTCTTGAAGTTTGGTGATGAAGAGGCAGAACCAGTTGAGCTTACTTGCTCACAGGCCACCATGGTCATGCCAAGCTAATAAGGCAGAGGTTTGAACAACTTTGGAGGGTCCAAAAGAAGCTATAAAACATAGCAAGTTGACTGTCACCATAGGGCAAGAAGACTCTTAACCTTTTTTTTTTTCTCCTTGGAGACTATTGTGAGGCTCCAAGAACAAGGTTGTGTATGTATTTGACTTTTTAGGGCCTGTACTGTTCAATTTATGTGCAGCTCCTCTTTTATTTAAGAAGAACAAAAGAAAAAGTCTTACCTTTGATTGGTCTTCAATTTCTCTCAACCTTTGGTCCAGGAAAACTTGCTCATAAATAAAGTCTATCTATACATACATATACATATATACATATGAACCAATGTAACCTCCATATCTTCTAATCTAGACTCATCCTGCTAACTCAACAGCATGATACATAAGAACCCCATCCACTGTTGTCAGTATATCACATTGGAGCTTTGTCCAACACTAGAAACCTGATCTCGGACCGAAAAAGTAAAGGATGAGAGTTTACAGTTCCCCAATGACACAATATGATTCCTAATCATCAATTCCACAGTCACAGTTCCTCAATGATTTAGTATGAGTCCCAAATTATCGTTCCATATGATTTCCAACTATCATGCAGAGAATCTAGCTGCAAGGAAGGAATTGGGAATTCATTGACCCAACTCACAACTACAATCATCAAGCATGTTCCTTGTTGTCATAGAAGCCACTGAATTGCAGTTTACATGGTTCTACACTCCTTATGAAGCTTTTGAAACCTTTAATATTATCATGGGATCATTATATCCCTGACTTCTGTACTAGGCTCCTCTTTAAGCATTGATAGCGCAACTTACACTCCTTGTCATTACAGAGCAGATCAAACACCATCCTCCATTGTTATCGTCAATGTTGATCTTTAAGCACTCATTTATCTGGTACATAGCATCATCCTGATAACGTAGGAAACCTTGCCAACAGCTTGCCTGTTCATATGCCCATGTCTTCAGATAGCTCGATGGGTGCTTGTCCATATGACCTGCACAGAAGCTGTAAATCCTTAAGAGCACAAGCAAATTATTCCAAATGGATGAGTCACCATTAATAGACACCATCTCAACTACAAACTGCACCCAACTATCTTGTTAATTGCTATGAACTTAATCAAACATTTTTCTCCAATTTCAGAAACTGCTTTTAGAAGCCAGTGAGATCTATTTTATACCAGAAAGATCTGAAAAGTACGATAATAAACCATGATGGAAGCCGAGGAAATTTTAGTTGATTGAGTTGGGATCAGTCCAATATGAAGAAACAAGAAGAGCATTCAGATCAGACTTTCTAAAAGATGAAATGACGCTTTCAAAAGAGTCTCCTAATGTACTAATGCAGGAAAAGATGACTGCTACAACACTAATATTATCCATATCAAAGACCAAAAATAATCTCCCCAAACTAGATACGCCAATCAAATGCCCAAGTAATAACACCATTTACAATATATGTCTCCATGCTCAAGCGTATGGCAAACTAATTAACATAACCGTGAACATGAAACCTAGGCATAAGGCCAAAGTACAACACTAGCATCCATGACAACAAGAATATCTGCCATGATGTACGCAGTTTATTTACTATTTGCAGGGGGGATCATTTTGTTATGTCATCTGTACCCTAACACGATTCTTATCTCAAGGCACTTCAATCAAGCATCCAAAAGGAATTTCCATGGGATACTGAAGACCTTGCGCCCATGTGTTTGTGCAGCAAAAGCAACCTGAACCCACAAAGCAAATCATGAAACCCATGTCAGCCAATGGAGATAAGGCAATACCATCATCTGAATCTAGATCATAGGCTTACATCACTTCATATAGGAATTCTAAACTACTCATACTCAGGTAATTCAGACAGAGATCTGAATGTCTCAATGGCCTTCATCATTTGTCCGATTGTTCACATGGGAACTCCCAAGAAATGCTGGGGAGTGCATACTTGCAGCTGAATATCCCTACATATATCATATTGGAAAAACAATGCTCATAAGCTGCAATCTGATCCAACTGCAAATTGAATACAAACAGAATAACTGCATGGTATTTTCCTAATCATTATCCTAGTGCAAGAAAAAGCAGATATCACACCAACATTGTCACAAAGCACCAATATACCGAGGTTCAAAACAACCTTGTTCATCGTGTAACAAGAATTTAGATCGCAGATGTATAGCATCAGAATATACACAATATCAATTTCTTTTTTTTTCATTACAAATTTTAGACCACAGTTATTACCTGATTTAACTGAGTGCTGGCAGGAAATGAATGTTGATGCAAGTCTGAGACAGAAGGATCCTGCAATTCAATTAAGCCATAAGCTAAAGAAAAGGCCAGGATCAAGCAAGCCAAATTTTACCCTCAGTGAACTTACTTGACTAAATTGACTTGAGCCATGAAAACCCTGCTGTTGTGAATAGGATGTCACTGGAACAATCAGGGATGAGCTTGTGGGGGTCTTGGGATCACTCTCACTTGTAATCACCCAATTGTTGCCTTCATTAGAAGACTTAGCATCCTTTTTCCACCTCTTTAAGAAGTACTTAAGAGGCAATTCTTTGATGTTTCTGAAGTCGAGCACCTTTAGCACATGACAACATTGAATCCCCACAAACTCAAACTTCTTACAACTGCAGTAGGCAGAACAATCTCGAGAGTCAAATCTAACATAGTGTTCTTTGGGTTTATCGGTGACAGCAACTCTGTACTCATATATACTCTCAACCTCACCACAACCAAACAACATAGAATCCATGAACATCTCAAACTCCTTCCTAAATATTTCAAAGACCACAGGTGTATATAGATTTGCAGCTTGTTTGAGCAACTTCGAGGGAGGTATTCTTGGGAAGCTTTGACTAGCATGGAAATCAGCTTGTAACTCTGCATAGCGATGTTCATCCAACACTCTCTCATATTGCTTAAAAAAGGATAAGAGGTCTAACTGAGGACTCAAGTATTTCTTTAGCACGCTACTCAAGCTTTCATTCTGCAGAGTGCTTTTCATGTCAGCACAATATATGTCTCGACCATAAGGTAAAGCCCATTTGTCCCTGTCCTCAAATAACTTGCCTAACCATTCATTATTTTTGAGATCATATTTATCCAACATTGCTCTCCATGCTAACATGAATTCCTCCTCTTCCTCGCAATCATAGATACACTTGCTAAAATCTTTTGAAAAGGTTTTTGAACCTTGGAATACATGATTTAGATTTCTAACAGCATTCTGGTAAACATGCCACACACAA